AACAGCAAGACACATGTGACCTTAAAGGAAAAGAGCTAAGATACAGTCCCTTCAACAGATATGTATCTGAAGATAGACTGAAATATATGCTTGCTTTAAAATCAACAAATCATTAAGGCTCAAAGAAGAAGAAGCCATTCTCTTTAGACGCTGTCCAAACTCGCAGGGTTGGCAGGGAAAGACGGGGTGCCGCCCGAGGCGCCTCCTCATTACTACAGGTGTGGTTGGATGCATGGCTCTCTGTGTGAGTAATGTCTTACCTCAAGGGCCCCACAGACATTATCTCATTTCACCTCCCTGACAGATATCCAGGTGGGGGAGAGGAAGGGAGAATGATTTAGTACTAGCTGGAAAACAAAATGAATCCTGAAGCTTTTCTGCTGAAATGTGGAAGAATCTAAAATGCATACATTTTTCAGTCTCCCCAGGCTATAGGAATAAAAATAGATTTTGTCTTCTGGAGAAAAGCATTCAGAAGCATGTTTAGAAAATTCAAGGGCTGGCCAGATAGCTCAGTGGACTAAAGCGCCTGCTTATGCAAGCACAGGGACTGGGGTTCAATCCCCAGTGTGTGGTGTGGGCCCTGCCCCTGGGCCACACTGAGATGGCAACTGAGACTGGGCATGGTGGTGTGTGCCTGTAATCCCAGCACTTAGGAGACTGAAAACAGGAGGATCACTATGAGTCTGATCTGTGTAGTGAGACCCTATACTAAATACATAGAAAATAAAAAAAAAGAAAATCTATTCACAGGGAGGGGACGCCTTCAAAAGTTTATAGAAATATTGATAGAAGTAATTACCCCTGATGACAATATATGCTAAGGAGGCTCTAATTATAAATAATAAATGAGCTTTCTCTTTTTCTGTAAGTCTTTAAAAAGTGAGATTGTTCCTCAACCTGCTGGGGTGTTTATAAAAAATAAGTCTGGAGTTAAGGTAATCTATTTGATGACTTTTTAAGATCCTTCCAGGAATAATTTCATTTACCTTGAACCTGAAATATTCCAGGATCTTTCTTATGGAAGTAGTCCACACTGCCGTTGTCACCTTTATTCCACTGGTTGGACATTTTGTAGATGTTGTCACATATTCCAAATGCACAGCACTGGTAGGCATAAGGCATTTCTATAACCCTTTCAAAAGACAAAAACCAAAACAAAAACCCCACACTTTTAAGGAAATTGGTCATTAAATATAATGCTCATTTTACTTTTTCAGCAAATGACTCTACCTTTGGATTTTAACTTAATCCAAAATAAGTTATATGCATGAAGATGTTCATACAGTGTTACAAATTACAACAATGGAGTTATTAAGAATTATTACCATGAAATGTTAATAATTACTGAAGGTACATGATGTAACTTCCATCATTAAAATGGTGAAAAATATTTACACTAATATGGTTAAAAATGACTGCTAGGAAAATTATAGCAACATCTCGACATAATGTAAAGTAGCTAAAATGTGGCATAACTGCCTATGAACACTTTGATTCTAGTAATTTAAAAAAGTAAAATAAAGTACCTACAAAGAAAATACATAAAAGTGTATTTCTACTTCTCTTCAACTTTCTAAACTACCTTTTGAAGTTATATTACTTTCATGCTTTAAAACGTATTGTATATAAAAAGTATTGTGGTTGAAAACATACACACATATGTTTATAAACATATTTATACATCAAGAGCTTTCATGATACTTTTTTATGGTAATAAGCGTAACAGGTTTTAAAGAGCATTACTTCCTCAAATATTAATTTACTAGATTTTATTAGAACATACACACCAGATACATGACTTAGAAACCATAAACAGGAGTATAATATTGTTATGATGTTGTTTAATTACACGTCCTAGTTTATATCTCATGGATCAGCGGTTTTCAAACTCTTGCCATGAACTTTGTTATTCTGGAAGACGTCTTTGAGGAGAAAAGGAAATGTGGTCCGGAAGACACATTCTCCTACTTCAGGGGGTGGGGGACGGAGGGCATGAAATGCAATTCAAAAGGGTCTCATGACCTCATAAATTGAGAAAACCACTGTAACATGTCTGTTATTTCACATGACCACAAATGTATCTTATTAGTTTTAATGACAAACTCACTTGAGTTCTGGAAAGTTTTCAGATGATATCAAGCTCTGTAAGGCATGATTTCCTGTTAATTTTAAGTGAGTTAAACCATGTAACCCAGTTACAGGAAAAGATGACAGAAGGTTGGATGATAGGTCCCTGCAAAACATCAAACAGCAATCAGCTTTTAGTCTGTGTTAGCATAAAACATTTATGTCAGGGGGGAAAAAAAGCAACCTAGAGTTGATTGAACTACTCAATAAAAACTTCTAAGGATCCTTATTCTTAATGGTAAAAGTAAGTATTTTGGTTTTAGTTCTTGATAACTTTTCTATTTAAAATCCGAATTGCAGGGGAAAGGTTTAATTTCATCCAAACTGTTCTATATTTGGCTTCATTTTGCCACAGGGGACACCTAAAATCAAGAGAAAACTGCTCCATTTATTTGAAAAGTGAGAGGTATCAGAAATAAAAGTTCTGGGGGATTTTTTCCATCTTTCTTACCTGAGGTTCTCTCTGACCATTTCCTTATTTCTTTATTAGATAAGAAAGAGGAGACAGAGGAAGACACAGAAAGAGGAGGAGGAAAAAAGAGACAGGAAGGGTTTCTCTTGGTCAAAGTGGTGAACATTAACATGAAAGCCCTTCAGAAGTGAGTTCACACCTGACTCCAGCCCACCTGGCTGCCCAGCAAAGATGGACAACTTTGCCTGGCTAACTGGAACCTGCTATCACTCGGTTTTTCAGTTACCACTTAAAGGCCTACATAGCACCAGGATGCTCCTCCATAGCCCTGACAGTGTGCAGTGTGTGCTGAACACCAAGGATAAGAGAACCACACCATGTCTTCAGTAAAAACAGCTGTACTAACCAGGTGGTCCCCGTTATTAAAAACATGCCACAAACAAGGTAGGAAATACTCACAGCTTTACTAGAGATGGCAAAGTAGCAAATGCGTTGGGGTGAATAATGGCAATTTTATTCCAAGCTAAATTCCTATTTAGAAAGAGAGAGAATTACATAAGCAATGAAATCCACATGAGGCTTAATCAGTGGCATTAGGTCTTCTATCAACATTTAATTTGCACTGAGATCAAGAACCACTAGCCCACTGAACTGCCCTTTAGATAAAAATAAGGGTGAAAAATGATGAAGGAGGGGATTTAGATCAACCTCATTAAGTAACCAAGGTGAAGTCATTTAGGAAGATATTTTTAGTTTTATTCTCTTCTTGTTAAAAGGTTGACTTTAATATGGCTGTAAAATTTTATTAGGGCTTTTCTAAAATTTGTGGAGGTAGGAGAGTGGTCAGAGACAATATGCAGAGGCTTTTCTGTCAAATGAGTAAAATTTAAATCCTAAAATGTCCCTAATAAGTAGTGAAATTCAACCAAGAATTTGTTCACATTATCTATATGGCAGCTCTTGAAAGATGCTTCAAGATCACTCTCAGTAAACAATACTGACAAGTGATTTCTTCAGCAGAACATGAATCAAATGGGGACAAACATATTTTAGAAATAATGTTCTTTGATAACATAAAACCTACATTATATGGGGTAACACAGTTCATATGCCTCACATAATGAAATGTAGACAATTCAGCAGGAATAATATTTTTTGTAAGAACTGCTGTGAATAATTAGAGATCACAACTTGTATGTTTTTAAAAAGATCTATGCATTTTAAGGTTTTCATTTTAAGGATACCTAGCAGACATGGGTAACTAAGATGCAGGCATTGTAAAGAGTTGACAGTAGCTGGTGATGGTGGTGCACGCCTGTAATCCCAGCACTCTGGAGGCAGAGGCTGGAGGATTATTGTGAGTTCAAGACCAGCTTGGGCTACAAAGTGAGCTACAACTGCATGAACTGCATGGTAAGTCTCAAAAAAAAAAAAAAAAAGGATTGAAAATGATTAAAGTCAACTTTTCTCAGGAACTGATTAATTTATGATATTGGATCCCTGCATGACCTTAAGTAAATAAAATCCACAGAATATCCCCATTCTCATTGAAATGTGTCTCAGGGACCTGTCCTCCTTGCTTGGAGAAGCTGGAGGTCTTGTCACTTTGGTCTCAGGACAGGAGATGGCAGCTAAGAAGGGCAGGAAAACCTAGAAGGTGGAAAGCTACAGGTTCATCCAGGCTTCGGTAATGAAGCAAGGAGACTGCCTTCCATGGAGTTGCTTAGGGAATGCACACCTACTAAGTCAAGCAAAACGTCATCTCTCAGTGAGCTTCTCAGAGCCGGGCATCTGGGGGACTGCCCATTGGCTCAGGTGTTTAAGTGCCTGCTGCAACAAAGCAGTCAGGCTCAGGATGCTGTGGTTGGATCAGAGCCTAGCATCTCAGATGCAGATCATCTCCTTCCATGGGCGGGGCTTTCCAGTGATTTGCCTGGGCTTTAGGTGTATGTGACAGCGTATGTGTAAAGGTTGCTAATGGCTTCCCAGACTGTGAGCCTGTGAGCTGGGATCCTCCCAGCAGCCCCAGAGCAGCCATTTTCCACTTTTCTGTGCCATTGTGTTTGGCTTTCCAAAAGGGCCCTCAGAAAGGGCGGGGGGGGGGGGAGTCCAGACGCTCTCAGTCGGTCCCTTTGCTGTTTGCAAGCTCATCTTTGACATTGGCTATGCACCTCCTCAACCACTGCATCTCTCTGCGTGGCTAAGCTCTTTCTGCGTTCTGCACTCTCTTCTTGTCACCGTGATGGTGTTGGCTTGTGCACACCTGTCCCCTGTCCCACCTAGGTGGGGGGTCTACTGCTTCAACCAAGGGGTCAATTCTGTTTCCTGAAAGCCAGGACCATCTCTGCCATACTCTAAAAGCCCATATACTTCTTCTAAGAACACTAACCACACTGTTACATACTTACTATGTGCCAGGAATAATTGTGAAATTTTTTATACAGACTGTCTCACAACCCTCAACGCAACCCTACGAGGTAGGTGTTATTACTTTGCTCTCTTGATGGGTGAGGTAATGTGAACAGACGTGTGAGGAATCGGTTGCCCCAAGTCACAAATCTCAGGAGCTGGATTCAAACTCAAGCACATCAGCGTTAGAGCCCTTGATCTTTTGGCCTGAACATGTTTGCATTCCTCAATAAGTAATAAGAGCACTACTGACCTTGGAGATAAAAAGATAACAGAGTCCTTGTTTTTAGATGGGAAATAGTCTACCTGATGACAGTACTGAGTGTTAAGTGCTATAACAGAGAACACGCAAAGTGCATCAGAACCGAGGGAGCCAAACGACAGGCGCTGTTGTTCTTCTGGGGTGAGTAGAGGCGTAGTAAGGGTTGGGAGGAATTCAACAGGCGATGGGGATGGGAGGAACAGTGACCTCTGTGTCAGTGGGCTGTGAATGCATGGAAGACTGATGAGACTGAACCAGGAATATGGAGAAGGATAGGTCAGGATTTTGAAAAGTGGTGCTGGGGAATGCAGTCCTGATTCTAAAGACTGTAGGGGCACCTGAACATTTCAGGAGCAGGGAAGAGGTTGATTCTATGTAAGAAAGCCTGCTTTATATCTCTGGTGAATGGGATACGTGGGTAGAGGCCAGTGGCAGGAGCATGGTGACTGCAAGGGCCTGTGGTGGAGCAGGGAGGAGAAGGGAGTTGGTGGAATCAGTTAAGTGACTGCACTGAGGTTGGAGGGGAGAGAGCAAACCAAAAGATGCTCCTGCAGCCTTCGCAATCTGTTACTTCTTTTGGTAGACTAGAGAACAGCCTGTGGAAACAGGGCTGCCAGAACTCTGTCACTAAGAGGTGACAAAAGGAGGTAATTTTTAATATATTTTTATTTTATTTTATATTTTCATTTTATGTATTTGGTACAGGGTCTCACTACGCAGCTTGGACTCATAGTGATCCTCCTGTTTTCAGCCTCCCCAGCGCTGGGATTGCAGACATGCGCCACACACCCAGACCCGGTGGCGGGCTCAGCATGCCTGGGGGGTGGGGCCAGCATGTTGTGCTGGAGTTAAAACCCCAGTCCCTGGGCTTGCCTACGCAGGCGCTTAGTCTGCTGAGCTATTTTGCCAGCTCATATTTTTAAAAAGTAAAATGAAAATGTAAATAAATTTAAGCCCAGAGTACAGAAAGGCTGAAACAACTGAGTTCAGAAGAAGTTGGTTCTCAAGGTAAATTTTTGGAAAAGTGATTCCGAAAAGTAAATTTAAAATGCTTTAAGAAATAGTGTTATTTTATCAATGATTAAGGAATACTTTAGAAGTCAGTGAAATAAATAAGAACATACTTTTATGTAAGCATTACATTAAAATTAGATTATAATGTCATTATAATGTCACCTACATTATGTGTCACCATTCAATAAAATCACACTGAAATCCAGTTTCAGCATTCAACAGTTTTAACTGTTTTTTTTTTCTTTTCTTTTCTTTTTATGTATTTGGTACAGGGTCTCCTTATGTAGCTCAGACTCATAGTGAACTTCCTGTTTTCAGCCTCCCTAGTGCTGGGATTACAGGGCTGTGCCATCATGCCTTGTCTTGTGACCAGCTCAGCACATCTGTGGTTGGGGCCAGTGTGGCATGGGGTGCCGGAGATTGAACCCCACTCCCTGCGCTTGCCTAAGCAGAAAAGTTTTAATTGTTATTTCATAAAGTGATCTTATTAAGCTTTTTTTGGTAAAATTTAAAATTACTTAAAAAATTTACTGTGGTGCTTGAGATCAAACTCAGGGCTTGGTGTACACTCACATAAATTTAATATAATTTCTTAACTTAAAAATATGCAATGTTCAAAAACATGCAGTGTTTTCAGTCACAAAATAATAATAATGAATCCGAATTGCCAGCATGACAGAAACATCTGCTAGGACAGCTGTGCCCCAAACTTAGTGGACTCTAAATTGTAGATGTCCAGGTCACATTCCAGAAATTCTAATGCGTGGAGCAGGTGCAGGCTTGGAGGCAGGTGAGTATTAAACATTTTCAAGGCTCTATTCACCCAGGAAGGGAAAGCAGGATGCTTAGAATTATATAATCATCCCATTTTTGTCTGTAAGCTGATGCTTTTCCACTCCAGGTTGTGGACAGAACCACATTGTGTGGTCTCTTATACAACTCAGTCTCCCTTCCTTTTGAACAAAGCTGAACGGCAGCTGCCTGGGGAAAGCGTAACTGCACATTTATCACTTTTAAGTTTATTCCTGGAAATTATTCAGAGCAAATTTGTTGCTTTTTCATAGCAAATATATGCACAAAGGTCCAACAGCAGACAATGAAAGGAAAATATCAGGGGCACCCCAAAAGAGAAAGGAGTGCTCCGGACTACAGCAGGTGCTAGGTGGTGGTACTCACAGAGATCGGAGGCTAAGCAACTGCTGGAAGGTGTCCACTTTAACTTCATAGATTTCATTATGTCTGAGGTCACTGCAACAACAGTTTCAAAGACAGATTTTAAAGTCACTGGTTTCAAAGATTCCAGACTTCAGAGAAGTTTTACAGGGGGATCACCTGACCTCAATCAAAGGAACACACAGAGTAGGACTAACAAGTGACTGGTTTTTGTTTAAAAAACTTTGCAACTTACAAACTTAAATAAGTAGTCTCTGTTTTTCAGATAGCTCATTCTACTGGATGGATACAAAAGCATATTCTAACCATGCCATTGTCATTTCAAGCACTTAGGACTCCTCTACTGCCATTGCCTTCTGAACATCTCTTGTATTCTCTGAAGATCTTCAGGTGTGTCAAACCTCCACCTTTCAAAATATAGGTTTGCTTAATCTTTTTTTTCTTTTAATCACCCAAGGACTTTCCAAGAAAAATGAAGTACAAAAGATAGATGGTTAAGGTTGTTTTGAAGAAAATGTTGGATTATAAAACAATAAAACTGATGTTTTAGGGGAGAGGCAGTTTTAAGGCAAGAATTCCAAGATATTCTGTGCAGAAGTGAAGTCCACAGCAACTCAAGTATTACACGTACATTTTCTGAAGCTTCTGGCAAGCTGAAAAACTGGGCAAATTTTCTACTAGGTTGTAAGACAGATCCCTGAAAAACAAAAGATGGAAAAAAGGGAAAATACGTTATATAGTAAGGGCCCATATCTGTCTTCTTTTTCTTCCAAGATGTTATATCACCAAAATGCTGACTCTGGATATTCCCACAGCCCTGATATGAATCAGGTAGTCACAGGCATTATTGGATTAAGCAATAGATTAAAGTGTTTATTGAAAGGCAACCGTTGTAGCTCTTTAATTGATTTAAATAACTTAATGGATTTCTTCATATTTTGTCAGTGATGGTGTATGATGTTTTAGCTCTTATCTTACTGAAATGATTATGCCTTTGTCCTTAAAATCTGCTACATCTCTATAATTGAGAGAAGTTATCCTTGATTCTTTTCTAATCAATTTAGAAACACAACCCAGCAATTCAAAACATGGCAGTAACTTTTGAAATCAATCACTAAAAAGGGGTAAAAAGTCTAAGGAAGTCTTCAGCTAAAACTCAACAAATTACAGAATAACAAAAACATCTGGACATATTTATAGTATAATATAACTAATCTAAAACAAGCCATGGTAATTTCCAGAATGTTAGAATAACTGGTAGATAAAGTAACATATATATGTTATATATCCTTGACTCATATATGTTATATATAAATGCTATCGGCTAAACAGCCAACACATTTTCATGCCTGAGTCTGATTTTTAAAACCAGATCATCACTAAGCAACTGAAAAATCCAGTTTTCTGAAAGCTTTAAACTATTTCTATTCTTGTAATTGTTTGCCTTATTCTACATTTATTAAATAAATGATATTTGTTTTGAAATAGGGTTTAGTTCCTATACCTAGATAGGTTCAATGAAGCTGTTCACAAATACATATTAGTAGTTTCTGCTAGAGACTTTAAATATCACTCCCAATACTCTAAAGCAAAAAGTAAACACATAAGACTCCACAAGTATAAAATAACATACTTGACTAACAATGCAGTGTATATTTTTGAAAAGTAGTGGAAGTATTAAGATGGACACAAACATTGTAAGAGATGGTAATGATTTGTTCTGTTCATCTCTACAGGTTACAAAGGGGGCCAGTGCTTTCTCATACATACCTTGATAGAAAGCTACATAAAACCTTCTCCATGTGGACATTAGTGCTACCTTCTACCTGCCTTCTACTGACTGATTTTCCATGGCTAACACTGATCAAGCATTTCTTATACAAAGGCATGATGTTTATAGTTGTCTTAAGTTACTTCATTTAATCCTGTGGCCACTTTATGAGAAAGACATAACTGTCCCATACAGTAAGACATGAACTATCTAAGACTACGAGCTACTGAGTGGGGAAACCCGTACACCTGGAATGGCATGCCGCGCAACTTCCATGAAGGGGAAGCAACTACCAAAGCACTGATATCTTAGGCAGTTCTTTTCTTACATGACAGGATAGCAGTTCTCCCCACCTTTCGGGAATGCTGAGTAGAACAAATAGGTTAAAGTGCTTAGAAAATGCTATTGTCATTAATGTGCCTGTTCTCTTTGGGTCTCTTCAAGTTTCATTGTGAAGAAATAGTATCTTAAGAATGATGATATAAAGAAAATGAGAGAGATGAAAGAATTCACCTTAAGGGTTTGTGA